TTTATTTACGTTGTTTATGATCATTATCACGACGTTAGCCTTGCTAGCTGCGGCTAATGGCTAATAATAACATGCTACCATTAATCAAGTACATATCCGTCTTAGCCCACATCCAAATCGGCCATTTTGATTAAGTCACCAACAGGAAGATCCCAGACAAGAAAATCCTAATTGTTTCATGGCAATACAGACATTAATTTGAAAATAGTTAAATGAATCTTGCAAACACTGAATTAAACTCTACTCATAATATTATGTTAAAATAGTGGATGTTAAATAGGTTTGTACAATAAGTCCAAACAAGCTTAACCCAAAAATATTTATTTCTCACAATTATGAAGGGTTAGGGTTAGGGTCAGGGTTATGGTCAAGGTTAGGGTCAGGGTTAGGGTCAGGGTTATGGTCAAGGTTAGGGTCAGGGCTAGGGTTAGGGTCATTAATGTGGGCCACCAGTCACGATAACATCAGTAACAGGTCAGTTTGAAATGAAAGACACAATTCAGTTAAATTTTGGGGTCTTTGTTTTTATCCTTGTGGTATCGAAAATGGTATGGAGTATTTTCCTGAGTATCGGTATCCAGTTGAACATTTTAGTATGGTGACAGCCCTAGTAGCATTTAAAATCTCACCTGTTCACTCGCAAGGTGACAGTTTAGTAGTGAGTGGGTGATGGGGAAGCTACTTTTTGCTGACCGCTTTACGCTTTACGCTTTAGATCTGATCGAGTCAAGTTGGCTGTGAACGTTCACGATGGTTTACCGTTTGTTGGATTATGGATGCCTATGAACTGATTCACTGACGTGTTTTAATGTTGGATACCTGATACCTGATAAAATAAAGCGATAACACGAAGACTTTGGACCGGCGTTTTGAACATCTAGCGCGTCTGGCTCGTTAGTTTCCCCTAAAAGTTTGTTGATCAGTCGCCAATAGGATAGGAGTGGGACGGTTCACAAAATCCACGGTTCGGTTTGATTCACGGTTTCGTGGTCACGGTTTTGGGTTCGGTATGTGTTGATTGTTAGGAAAATCTATTATGTCTTGTATAGTCAGGTTAAAACTGAAAGAAAAAAGCAGTGTGACATGTGATCCATTACTGTGACAGTCTGAGGTTAAAGTAGGTGAGATTCTGCCAGAGAGGAAACAGAGCTAATTCCAACATGTGCTTCCCTCTAAATGCAAACTGGTCCATACAGCAGACCTAGAAACTGCTGCTGGGTCTGATTTTTATGGGCTACGCTGCTTCTTCTTCTTCTGGTTTCCTACTGGTGGTTGGCTTTGGGCGCAGTAGCGCCCCCTTCTGCTCTGGAGTGTAAACGCTTCCCTCTGAGAAAAAGGAGCAGCAGGAACCCAACCAACACACGCCAACCCAACCCAGACAGAACCCAACGGTTCAGACGGGTTTCAGAAACCCTCCCATCCCTCCAATAGGGGGTCCTCACCATGTCGAAGGTGTAGGTCTTGCGCGCGGCCTTGTCGTTCAGGCCCCCCGTGCGCACGGCCACCTCCCTCCGGTTCTGGTCGCAGTCAATAACGCCGTG